CCAGACAGTGGGACGTGCACTGGGAGGAAAGGCTGGTGGCGCAGCAGCAGGTTGGGACATTGGAGTCACTTCACATCATTGAAAATGCTTCCTTTTCTCTCCGTTATTGAATCCCACCATGATGAGGTTAGGGAACTTCCTCCGAAAGCAGAAGTGCTGGCCTGGTCTTGTAGAACAGGGGTAGAGATGTTTAGATATGGTGATCACATCCTGGGCATTCAAGGTCATCCTGAGTACACTAAAATATTCTTCTGCACTTGATTAACCGGCTTCCGCAATGCAATCTCACTGAGGAATCATTTGCCGATGAGGCTAAGTCTGACTTGGATGCTCGTGAACCTGATGATAGGGAGACGTGGAAGAAGTTGTGCACCAGCTTTTACAAGGGTAGACTGTGATGAGGATTTGGTAGACTGTGACTGGAATAATTTGGGAAGTTAAGAGGATCCACTATCTAGGATTTGGATAGGGAAATTTCTACATGCACATTCATATTAATAGCCTGCAAAGAGACCATATGGAGCTCGCATTATAGGGAAATTACTGGGTGGCCTTGCCCTCGTCACGCAGGGTTGCCCATGATTTGGTGACGGTTTGTCCTTTTTTTTGGCATATGTTTTATGGTAATAGGAAAAATGTTAAGTGATGATGTTAGTTGGCTAGTAATAAAGTTTAATAATATTAGTATCGAAATATTTATTAAATTGAAAAATATGTATTATGTAATTCTCCACTACAGTATGCTTATTAATAGAAATTACTGAGAAAAAAAGGACACTAAAGAGAACTAAAAAAGAGGGAAAAATGGAAATAATTGAAAAAATCAAAGATGATGATATAGAACAAAAAAGATGTTATCATTATTATACTATTAAAATGAAGAAATAGATAAATAGATAAAAAAAAAATAGTAGCAACGAATGCATCTAAAGAACATTAAAAATGAAGCAATCTTTTTAATTATTTCATAAATGAAAAAAGGAAAAAAAATTGAGATGCAGAAAAATCTAAATAGAAAGGGATTTGGAGTGGAATTGGCACTAAACTATTTCACTAAATTGAAACAAGAAAAGGAAAAAATCTGAAATGCAGAGAAATATGGAGTAAATTATATAAAATAATTTTTTAATTATGCACTCTATATTCAATTGTAAATGATTTATTTTTTTGTGAGAAATTGAGAGGAATTTGGAGCATGATTAACACTAAAATTGTTTAACTAAATTGAAAGGAAAAAGGAAAAAAATTCAAAATTTAGAGAAATTTGGAGTAAAATCTAAGAGATGAATTTTTTTAATCATGTCATGTTTATTCAATCGGAGTTCACCATATCCAATACAAAAGATATCATTATTATTATTATACTATTAAAATTAAGTAATAAACAAATAATATACAGAAATAAGAATAAGCGTCTAATCAAGAGATCCTTTATTTTTCTTTTAATGTAAATATAAAATATGTGGAATAAAATTTATAAATTTGGAACAAATTTCATGTTGGGATTTTATTGTGACATTATGGTTGTTCAAACACTAAATTAGATTTGAATAAAGAAAGGAAGGAGAAAAGTGAGAGGTGTAAAAGGAATTTCGAAGTAGGATTTATATTGGCATTGTTTTATCACACAGCCATTCAAACACTAAACTAAATTTGAACACGGAAGGAAAAGAGGGAAATCAAAGATGGAATCAAATTTGAAGCAAACTTTATCTTAGAATTTTTTTACCAGACCATGCCTATATTTATTTTAGAATCTTTTATTAGACTATGTTTATATTAATATAGAATTGTCTCTGACCATATTTATATTATTAAGATATAAACTAATGTAGAGAAATAGAGAACAAACAATAAATTGGACCTCTCACTTTCTGTGGAATAAATTGTTATCAAACAAAATGGTTTTCAAGGAAGCAAGCAGGAAAAAATAAATTCAACCTTGCATTTTCTATACGTAGCCATTTCCAACTGTTAAACATTATTTTACTTTATTTAAAAGTCATTGTAACAGTTGGAGCTCAGCACATTTAACACAAAAAATATTAGCATAATTATTTTTCTTAGCAATAAAGAACTAAATAAATGGTGCATAAAAATAGTAATAGCTAATGTATCCAAAGAGTATTAAATAAATGTCCAATGAAGGAAGCTTCTATTTATTTCATTAATAGAGAGGAATTTGGAGAAAAATATATCTTGGGTTTTTTTTATTAAATTATGTTCATTAATACCAAGCATCTTTCAATAATATAGAGAGATTTGGAACAAAATTTATCATAAAAATTTTTGGTACACTGTGCTTATTAATACCCTCTATTTTTTTTTGGTCAAGAATGCAGACAAAATTTGGAGAGGATTTTTTGGTCAGGGTTGTAGATGAAGTTTGGAGCGGAACTCATACTAAAATGTTAATCAAAATTTATAAATATCCCTCAAAGAGATAAAAAAAAAAAAGCAAAATCATTTTTTTCTTAGAATCCATTCGGGGCAAAATTGAATAAATCATAGCAATGAATTCGTGCAAAAAGTGTTATATAAGTGGCTACTAAAAGGACCTTTTTTTTTTTTGTGATCAAGAATGCAGACAAAATTTGGAGCAGATTTTTTGGTTGGGATTGTAGATGAAATTTGGAGCAGAACTCATACTAAAATGTTAATCTAAATTTATAACTATCCCTCAAAGAGAAAAAGCAAGCAAATCATTTTTTTCTTAGAATCCATTCAGTTGCCTATTATTTGTTTGAGAGTTTTCCTTATTTTTATGTGTTTTGGGTTGGTAAGAAAAATGTGAAGTGGTTATATTATATTTATGATGCTAAGGTTTTATAGAATTTGTGTGATATAGAAGCATAAGTATGTGCATGAAAAGTTTGGGAGTGGATGAAATTTTATGATAAGGTAGTATTAATATTGTGATCGTTAATTATTGTATGTTGGTAATAGATAGAAATAGTGAAAATATTCAGCATTATTAAATTTTTAAAGGAAGTGGATCTTAGTCTTTAACATTGTTGTATTAAACAAAAAATTTGCAAATGGTAAGTTAACAACCTATCATTTTATATGGATCATTGGAAAATTGATGGTGGTAAAAATGCATTTTTATTAGATGAAAACATATATATTGTTAATTATATTTAGTATTTGTACCTCTGAGGATTGGAATAATTTAAGCATTATAGTGGATAGATTTTTACAAGCTTGTCATCAAATATATACATTCGCTATTGGTTTTTGACCTAAGTGTGCTATTATAGTTATATATCTTGGTTTAATAGGATGACATTTGAGCATTTTTTTTCCATCCATAAGTGAAAATGTTATTGTCAATTTTGATATCTCAACTCTTATGGTGGCACCGGTTCACAATGAAGTCATTCTCAGTTGGTGAAATGTGTATGCGTCTTCTAGGTGCAACTCCTGCAATACCGAAGAGATTGGTTTTAGTTTTTTTTCTTTTAAATGCTAGCAAACTGCATACGAATTGAAGTATGAACATTACTAAATATTCCATGTCCTATGGTCTGATAGTCAAGTAAAATGAAAACTTTGTAAGCAATCTTTGTCTTAGGGAAAAAATGCTTACGATTTTTTAAGGGAGAATAAAAATTAAGGAAGTTATTTGTAGCTAGGTGTTAGCTGAGAGCACGATCTCAGCTGAGAGCACGATCTCAGGTAAGTTACCATGTTCTTTTTCGATGTCGGCATGAATTGGAGTATAAAGTCAAGTAAAATGAAAACTTTGTAAGCAATCTTTCTCTTGGGGAAAAAATGCCTACGATTTTTTAAGGGAGAATAAAAAATAAGGAAGTTATTTGTAGCTAGGTGTTAGCTGAGAGCAGGAACTCAGGTAGTTACCATGTTCTTTTTCGATGTCGGCATGAATTGGAGTTACACTCCAATTCACAAATTATCTAATTTTTTAAGCACTATCTAACTTTTTTTTAAGAACTCAAACAAATAGCAAATAACAATTAAAATTTTAAAAATGGTATTAAAATTTTTTTTCCAATCATTTAAAATGTTCTTTACACATTATCCATTTTTTTAAGAACTCAAAAGGAAAGCAAATAACGTTTCTATCATTACACTGAAATTGAACTATGCATAAAAACAGCAATACCTAACTTTAGTAACGGGTCAAACATATGGTAAGAAAAATTTCTCTCTAATTATTTAAGATATTGTTCATGAATTATTGAATTTTTTTATGGACTATCTAACTTTTCTTAAGAACTCAAACAGATAACAAATAATGATTAAGCTCAAAAAAATGATATGAAATTTTTTTCCATTCATTTAAAATATTCTTTACACGTTATCCATTTTTTTAAGCATTATTTGTTTTTTTTTAATAACTCAAAAAGATAGAAAATGGCAAGGACGATGATTTTTTATCCTAATGGCTCAAAAAGATAGTATCAGTCCAAAAAACAGGCACCATGTCTTTTTTTTTATTATTAGACTCAAGCCATGGCAAAACTAAAACAAACTGTGTCTAAAAAACATTACAAATGAATGAATCTTTTTAATTAATTTTTCAAGAATAGTAAGAGTTTGGAGTGGGATTGGCACTAAAATATTTCACTAAATTTAAACGATAAAAAGAAAATTCTGAAATGTAGAGAAATCTGAATACGGAGGGATTTGGAGTAGAATTGGCACTAAAATATTTCACCAAATTTAAATGAAAAAGGAAAATATGTAAAATGCAGAGAAATGTGGAGCAAAATATACAAAATAATTTTTAAGATATTTTTGTGAGGGATAAAGAGAAATTTGGAGCATAATTGACACTAAAATGTTTAACTAAATTCAAAGGAAAAAAAATTGAAATCTAAAGAAATATGGATTAAAATCTATGAGATGATTTTTTTTAATCATGGATCATCTCTATTGAATTGGAGCTCACCATATCCAATATAAAAAATATTATTATTATTATACTATTAAAATTAAGTAATAAACAAATAATGTACACAAACAATAACAGTAGATTTGTCTAGAAAACATTTTAATAACGTCGCACCTCAATTATTTTGTAATAATAATGGACGACAGCCTGGACCGCTGACAATTTATTACAGACAACCAGACCAATCCAATAGTAATTAATACTCTAGAGCGAGCGAGCGAGCGAGCCTCTGTCTGTGCCACTATATACTAGTTTACTGCCATGGGGTCTTCGGGAAGTTTGGCTGATGATCAATGATCATACTACCGTTGTTCTTTTATTGTTGACCAAACTTAAAAACATTTTATTATTACATGGGGTCCGTTCATAATTTGGAGGACGTTGCTACAATCAACCATCCGAACCAGATCCTATTCAATTCGTCAAAACGCTCTCATCATACCAATGTCTCTTTCCGAAAATACATTCACCGAAGCATCCATTGTTGCACGTTCATTAGTATTATTTTCTTCTTCCTTGTATAGGTCGCCCTGACTACATACATACTACCATAGAATCACACTAGAGGCACCCCATCAAATTCTCCGCTCCACTCATATAATCGTACAATTTCCAGTGTTCTCCTCACTGAAATAATCGCAGCGGCTGTACGGGTACCCCTTCCCATACCCATAACCATAGCTATAATAATAGGGTGGCGGCGGCACAGGCTGCCCGTACCCATAGTAGCATGGTCCCCCCCTGTACCCTTCTGAACATGGGACACAGCAGAACCCCGCTGGAACTGACAGGTGCGAGTACGGTTCAGTTGGAACCGTTGCTGCTAGTAGTGGTGGTGGTGTAGGATCCTTCGGCTTTTCAACTACTATACCTGTGGGTTTTTCGACAGGATCCTTCGGCTTTTCAGCTGGTTTTTTGGGAGGCTTTTCTGGCGGCTTAGGCTTTTCTTTCGCCTCGGGCTTTGGTGGTGGGGGTGGCTTCACGATCTCAATGCTCTTAATGACTTTGCCACCCTTGCAACATAATTTGTCGCGGATTTTCTCCGGGCTACAGCACACAACGGTGATGGTCACCAGATTTTGCTTCTCATCATATACCTGGTCTCTGATTTCTCTTGTCCGAAAAAAATTGAGCATCACCCAAAAAAAAAAGAAGAAGAAAAACTCAAATTCTTGTCCATACAAATTAAACCCACTATCTGATCACTAGTAGTTTCACAAGCCACACTACCAAACTTTTGTTGTCCAACTCGCCTAATAATCGTGGAGCAGGGGGCAAAAAAATTGTAGTAGCTCATGGTGGTGCACATGCCTATGTACATAGTCGGTGGAACGGTGGATAGCCTCCAACCAACTGTACTTGCTCTAAAGAACTACTAGTATACTGGTAATGAAACCATCAGAGATGGAATTGATAATTATAAGAGACTCACGAGGAAATTTGCAGAGGATTTTCTTGACCTTCTTGTAGCAGCTGGGGCATTGAAGATCAACCTTGAGTCTCATTACAGTGACCTGTATGGTTGCATATTATCGGAGCAGAATAATCAAACTCGATCCATATATATATATAACAATCAAGAAATGTACAATTAAGATGCACGATTATATGGTACTACTAGTTTACGCTGAGAGATGTGGCTTAGAGATCTTGCCATAAAGAGAAGCACATCTCACGTTGTATGTGCTGTCATAGACTTGCAGTTAAAATTTTCAGATTCAGCAAACACTAACAGAGGTAAAAAAAAGATGCAAAACAATATCACGAACATTTGAGGGATGGTTGACAAAGCTAGCAAGAGAATTGGCTTACCTTCTCAGCCATGGCTGATGAAGGAGTCAGTCAGTGGCGATGAGTGGATCTGATCAAGAATCCACAGCCCAAATGATAAATGTGGGAAATGGGAATTTTTTTTCTTTTTTTTTTTTGGTTGGGGGGGGGGGTTGGGGTGGTGGGGGAGAGGAAGAGTAGGGGAGTGGGGAAGGGATGTAGGCAGCAATATACTAAACTGATGCTAATAAATGGTTGAATTAGATTGTAGGAGCCAACTAGGTAGAAAAAAGTGTGAGGACTGTATGTAGAGAGATAGCAACCGGGTAGCATGCAGTACTAGCATGGAAGGAGGGTGGAAATGAAATGAAAGGGGCGTTGCATTTTGATGCCATTATCAAGATTGTCTGCTTTCTAGTGGTATACACATATATACGGTAAGGAAAGGTAAGGTAGTTATACGTGCTGGGCCTGCTGGCTGATAATTGCTGAGTTGTGCGGAGTGACACAGTCCTCTCCGCCATCAACACCCATTGCATGTTCAGTGGTCCTTAGATGCCACACCCCCCGGCCCCAGCCGCACCACAGCCACAAAGACGCATTTGAGAATTACTAGCTGGCTTATTAATTGTCTTTTGTTTGGGCATGTGTAGAGGTGGCAAAATGGGCGGGATGGGCGGGATTTGCTTGGGTTTGAGATGGAACCGAGTCATATGGGTTTGGGCCTAACCTTACTCATATGTGTTTTGGGACTAACTTGGGCGGGATCACTTTGGGATGGGTTTAGATTGATCCCGCCCAATACCCAAATCTATTTTCTACATATTTTTTTCCTTTAATTCATTTTTTATTTTTTATATAATTTTAATATTTTTGACTTATTAAATTTCTTTTAGTTTTATTAAATAAACATGCAAGTGCTTTATACTCAGGATTCCCGCCAAAAATTGGATTAACAAATAAAGAAAAAGATAGATATACAGCTATATTCCAACATATATCAAGATGGCCAAGATACTTAGGGTGTTGAATATTTATCCTCATCATTTTCCAAGAATGACAGGTCTAAACTGACTGAAATGCTGGAAATTCTTGTGGATAATGAATAGGAATACTACTAGATTATATTTGCTGGTGTGACTATAAAAATTGTTAAAGATAATTTTTGAATCTAAGACTCCATTTGGATTGACTATTTTTTCAAAAAATAAATTTTTCAAATACAATGTTGCAGTAATATACATAACTCAAAAAACATCCCATCCATATTAGTATATCAAATATTTCAAAAAAAATTTATAGTAAAAATTTTTCATATACACTACTACAATAAAGTATTTCAAAAACACCCCCCAAAAATAATTAATCCAAACGGAGCCCTTGCTATTTGAGCCCAATGGGTACTCAAGTATTTCCCAAAATTTCCCATCAATTAATGGGTACAATTGGGATTTGTCTCATTTTAAACCCAATATCAAATTTTAATACCCATCCCGCCCAAAGTCCCTATAGGTATGGGTAACCCATTGGGACTTGGGACAAATTGCCACCTCTAGGCATGTGTTTTATGATAATAAGAGAAATGTGTTTTATCGAGATATTTATTAATGAAAAAATATTTATTATGCAATTGTCTGCTACAGTATGCTTATTAATAGAAATTACAGAGGAAAAAAGCACACTAGAGAGAAATAAAATAGAGGGAAAATGGAAAATAATTGAAAATTAAAGATGATGACATAGTATAAAAAAAGATATTATTATTGTTATGCTATTGAAATGAAGAAATAGATAAATAATGGATAAAAATAGTAGTGATGAAAGTGTGTAAAGAACATTAAAAATGAAGGGATCTTTTTAATTATTTCATAAATGAAAAAAGGAAAAAAATTGAAATACAAAGAAATATAAATACAAAGGGATTTGGAGTGGAATTGGTAGTAAAATATTTCATTAAATTTAAACAAGAGAAGGAAAAAATCTGAAATGCAAAGAAATGTGAAGTAAAATATATAAAATAAATTTTTTTTAATCATGCGCTTTGTATTCAATTGGAGTTCAGTATATTCAATTATAAATGATTTATTTTTTGTGAGGAATTGAGAGGTATTTGGAGCATAATTAACACTAAATTCAAAGGAAAAAGGGAAAAAATTTGAAATTTGGAGTAAAATCTATTAGATGATTTTTTTAATCACATCATGTTTATTCAGTTGAAGTTCACCATATCCAATAGAAAAGATATTATTATATTATTAAAATTAGGCAATAAACAAATAATGTACAGAAACAATAATAGTAGATTTGTCTAGAAAGTATTGAATAAGTGTCTAATCAAGAGATCCTTTTATTTTTTCTTTTAATATAAATAGAAAATATGGGGAATAAAATTATATTCATGGAATCTTTTATTGCACCATTCATTTATTAATATCAATACAAAGTAATCCATTAGTGCCACTTTGATAGTTTGTTTATCCATCCGAAATTATAGTCTCACTCCAATCAAGTAAATTTTATCTTAGAAAATGCTTTTTATTAGTGAATTGGTTTCACCCGAAGCATCGGACCAATGATGTTCGCTACTAAGGAGGTCATTTATTAGCTCGTTCATGAGCCCTACCTATGACCCACTTTTCAATTAAAAATATAATTAAATTTTAATTTCTCTAATAATATATTTATTTAATGTACTTTATTATCAATGAGTATAATGTACTTTACTCATAGTTTGAATGGTATAATTTTTATAGTATTGTTATTGTAATTAATGTAAAGGTATGGTGATTAGTTATACTTCTGATATTGATTTAATGGTATTTTAAGAAAATAGTAGACTGGATTTACTCTTTTAACAAAGTTAAGCAGCTTTTCTTAAACTATGTTAAAACAAATACTACCAAAATAGAACGGAAGGAGTAATTAGGACACAATTTATCAAGTAAAAAGCTTTCCAAAGAAGCAAGAGGGTAAAAATAAATTCAGCCTTGCATTCTCTATGCATAGCCATTTCCAACTATTAAACATTATTTTTCTATTATCTGAAAGTCATTGAAACAATTGGTGCTCAGCGCATTTAACACAAAAAAAATTAACATAATTACTTTTTGAGGAACGAAGAAATAAATGAATGGTGCATAAAAATAGTAATAATTAATGTATCCAAAGAGCATTAAATAGGTGTCCAATGAAGGAAGCTTCTAATTTTTCGCTAATATAGAGGAATTTGGAGCAAAATGTGTCTATTTTTTTTTTGTTAGATTATTAGATTATGTTCATTAATAGCAAGCATTTGTCACTAATATAGAAAAATTTGGAACAAAATTTATCCTGAAATTTTTCTTTACGCTATGTTTATTAATACAAAGTAATAGTTAGGAAAAAGACATTTAAGACTCAGAGAAATAGATAGGAAATAATAAAGTTTGCTTTTATATGTTGTTTGTTTAATCATCTATTGCTATTATTATTTTTTGGCTATTTAAAATGTGCATAAGTAATTAGGGCTCGCCATTATTTTTTACCAAGACTTTATATGTTGTTTGTTTAATTTTCTATTAGTATTATTACTTTTTGACTATTTAAAACGTGCGCAAGTAATTAAAGCTCACCATACTTCATTTTCTTTTTCAGTAATATAGAAAATTTTGAACAAAATTGGATATTAAAATATTCAATTGAACTTAGAACAAAATCATACTAAAATTTTATTTTTTTTCACGCAAGTAATTAAATGATGCATAAAAGTAGTAGCAATGAATTTGTGCAAAAAGTTTTATATAAGTGGACACTAAAGGGACCCTTATTTATTTATTTATTGTTGGTTAGGAATGTAGACAAAGCTCACCATACATATTTTCCTTTTCCAGTAATGTAGAAGAATTTCGAACAAAATTGGTATTAAAATATTCAATTGAATTTGGAACAAAATTATACTAAATTTTTTTTGTGAATTTGTGTAAAAAGTGTTATATAAGTGGCCACTCAAGAGACCCTATATATATATGTATGTATATTTGGTCAGGAGTGTAGACAAAATTTGGAGCAGATTTTTTGGTGAGGAATGTAGAAGAAATTTAGAGCAGAACTCATACTAAAATGTTAATCTAAATTTATATTTTTCTGATGGCTAAAAATGGTAGTATTAGTCCAAAACCAGGCACCATTTTCTTTTATATATTAGGCTCAAGCCATGGCAAATTGTGGCTCATCATGGCAAAACCAAAATAAACTGTGACTTGGGGGCATTAAAAACCCACATGCAGCACAGGTCAAAATACTAAATTTTTTTTTTTAGATGATAATTATTGTATAATCTAATCTATCCTGCACTAAAGGAGAGGAGGAGGATTTAAAGAGATATAGGGATAATTCGGAGAGGATTAAACCACCACCGGATCAAACAGGGATAATTCGGAGAGGATTAAACCACCACCGGATCAAACGGGTGTACTACACACCCGCCTGAATTTTTTGAAACCAAGCCACTTTTAAATGTAGCATTTGGTACCTTGCCTTCCACCCCCACCAAGCCTTAACGGCTGGTGGTTGGTTGAGGGGAAAAAAACGGGAGAGGGGAAAAAACAAAAGAGAGAAGCAGACAGCAAGGAAAATCTCCTGCCGAAATTATCCTTAAGGCTGCACAAAATCACCAAAGAACCGGCAGAACATCAAGGAGGAACGACACTTTCACCGTTCCTTAGCGTTGGGCGCTTTGAATGGGTAGGATTAAAAGCCTTTTTATACCGCAATGACAGGATTTGGAAGGACAGCGATTTACGTCACACCTCAATTAATTACAGACAATCCTAAATTAATTAATCTTCCAGAGTGAGCGAGCGAGCCTCTGTCTGTGCTACTATACACTAATTTACTGCCATGGGGTCTTCGGGAAGGTTGGTTGATGATCAATGATCATACTAACCTTGTTCTGAGTTGGTGGAGGTGAGTGGTGAGTGGGATAAAGAGAGTGGTGGAGCCAAGATTTCGAGGGGGTGGGAGGGTGGCGAATTAATAATGGTAGAAAATTTTTTTTACTTGTATAATTTTGAAAATTATGAATTTTGCTTTTAATTTTTTCCATTTCTTTTGTTTGATGATTCAGACTTGACATCTAATCGCAATTTAATGAATTTTTTTAATCCAAAATTTTCTAACAAGTTCTGTATTAGCAAGATGATTTTAACAAAACACTAGTAAAATCAAGTTCACAATACATAATAAGAAAGTCATATATTCGGTAATGAATTTAAATATGCATTAGTATGATAAATGTATATAATAGCTTATTTTTCTATCTTCTCTTTCTTACTATCCTATACACACACAAAAGACAGAAAACTGTCTGTATGAAAATATTGCAAAATTTTATATCAAAGTACCATATAGAATATTCAATTAGTTATAAATGTTGATAGGAA